TAGCCGGGAGACTACCAACCTTTTTTCACCACATAAGAAAACAATAGATTGAGTAAAGCTAAATTTATAACAAATATTTTTTATAAAAATTAATAGTTTCCACAGCACCATTAAATGTTTGACAATTAAGATACAGAAGTGCAAAAACAAATACTTTTCATAAAAGTCAATGACCTATCAATTTTTTAACGGCGATTTGGTCCTCACCGTTAAGAGCTAAGCATTTTAATTTCCATAAAAATTACCATGTGACGATATGCATATCCTTAACTCCAACTTAATAGTCAGAGTGTTCATATCCGCACACGAAAGAAAAAGAGAGGGAGAGATGCATTCTCAAAATTTTATTATTCTTTGGTAACAAACCAATGTTGTTCAATTTCATTGATTTTATTAAGAAATTTAAGTATTTGACAACTATTTATATTTCTTGTTTTTCATTTTTTTGACACGTTTTCAAAATTGTATAGAAATTTTGGAAACAACAAAAACAAGTTCTTTGTTGCTTGTTTTCATTTTCAATTTATTTCAACATAAAAAATCTTGATTAATCATTCTTGCGTCCATGAAGGTTAGGGTTATGCAACTCTTTTTTTCTTTATTAAAAATAAGAAACAGAAATGTTATCAAACTAACTCTCAGCTCGTTTTGTGTTACTTGTTATGCACATCTTCGAAGAAATTTGACGGAGAAGTGTTCCTTTTCTTTTTATTAAATAGTTTTGAAACTATCATTTTTTTTTTTCGTAATTTTTTAAAAAACTAACTCTTCTCTCTGAAAAAGTTCGGCTCAATGCATAAACTTGCTGAAGTAGAAAAATGGGGACACAGCTAAACACTTGCATTGTGTTGTCGTACGATTCTTATTTATTTTTTGGTTTAATTAAAATGATTTTTTGGAGAAAAAAGTTTAGTTTTATTTTTCACCTAACTCGTTATTAAATCCATCACCTTGCGAACCAATTTTCTTGCAGCATTAAAAAGCTCCATTTATGAAATAAAATACATGGACATTATTACTATCGTGCATAGGACATTAATTATTATTATTATTATTGTTATTATTTTCAGTTGCATGGAATAAGATTTTTTTTTTTAATTTAAATCTTGATTTATGAAATTTTAAATTTATTTTATTTTGGTCCCTAAATTTCTAAAATACCTTGACCCTTGTAAAATTGTCAGTCTGTACCCTAAAGTTTTTTCTTCTTTTTCTAAATTTGGTCTTTTTAAAAAAAAAAAACAACGCGTAAAGTGCACTTTAAAATTACTTTTCTACTCCTTCCTCCCCACTTTTTTTCTTTATTTTTTAACCTCTCTAAAGAACAGAATATTTTTTTTCTTATACCAAGAACTTTAACATATTTCTAGATTGTCAAAATTTTTGTTTAGAGAGGTTAAAGAAGAAACGAAGAAATTGGGGTAAGAATGAGTAGAAAATTAGTAATTTTCAAAGTGTAATTTATGTCAGAAAGAGCCATAATAATTATCTTTTAGAGAACGACCCAAATTTCTAAAACCAAAAACTTTGTACATGAAGACAATTTCCCTTGACTCTTACCATTAATTTATCTTTTGTTATCAATTTTTAGTAAATGGATGATGTGACTAACACATCGATGTAAACATATATTTAAACCATATAGATTAGGTGAGTGTTTCTTTTAATTTATTTTCTTGAGTTCGACGAATAGTAGAGAATGTCAATATTAAACATACATCAGCAATATATTTACTCTTTATCTTGAGGTTGATAGTTCAAATCTCTACAATTATATTAATTGTAATAAAGAAGGTAAAGGAGAAAATTCAAACCTCCAATTTTTTTTTTTAAAAAAACAAGTAATGCTTTGACGGATATCAATTATCATTTCTTGAGGGCGATGGTTTGATCTTCCACCCGAACAGTTCAAAGCTCAGATCTTTAGAAAAACAAGTGATACTTTGACACGTATAGTTTATCATTTTCCAAGGTCGATAATTTGATCAGTTGAATTGAAACCATGGGTTGTTAAAGCACGTAGAAGTTGCGTGTTCATTACGTCGATAATTTGATCTGTGCACTTCTATTCATGAGGTCAATCCCATCTCCCTCGACTTTCCATTTTCACCGTTTTTTTTTCAACGCTTTCCCATGCCAAATTACACCATGTGTAAATTCTTCTTAATTCTCGAAGTTTTTAATGTCGACGTTGTGGAAATATTTAAAAATCATTTGATAACGTTTTTTTTTTCTTGTTTTATTAAAAGATTTAAATTTTTGACAATTATTTATGTTTCTTATTTTTCATTTGTTTTCCAGATTTTTAGGAAAGAACAAAATCAAATTTCTTATTTGTTGTTCTTATTTGTAATTTATTTTCAAAACATGAATAAAAATATTGTTTTATCATTCTAGACTTATAAAGAATAAGAAATAGTTATCGAATGTAATTATGTTTGTCTTTATTAAAAAGGAAAAAACGAGAAATGAGAACGTTATTAAATGGGCCCTTAAAATCTCGATTTTACAAAAAATGACTATGAAATATCGACAAAGTGTCGATGTCGATGAATATTTCTAGAAAAATAATGAAAATAAAAATTTTAAAAGATATATTTAAATTTGTTTAAATTCCTTATTATTAATATTAGGTTCATATCAGTGATATTTTGTTGATAATTTTTATAATTTGTGTATTTTTTGCCATGATATTTCAAAAATATCGATTAATCCCTTATGTCAATGTCAAATCTATGAACATATGGAAATGTTGATGATAGAATACTAATATGTTGACGAAAATTTAATATACCGATTAATTCTTCATGTTTTTTTGGTTGAATATCCGATTTGGTTTTTGAACCTTGAGAGTTGTGTCTAGTAAGTATTTAAAATTATAAAGTGTCTAAAGAGATCCCAAAACTACTTTTTGATATTGTGTTTAATAGGTTCCCAAAGACTGACAAAATTTTTTATAAGTTAGTATCTATTGAATATGAAATGAAAAGTTTTAAATGACCTATTAAATATAAAATTTTGATGTCTCAAATTTGAAAATAAAAAACAAAATATGTTCTTCTATTTATTTTATTTTTAACAAATAGATAACTACATATATTAATACGAGTATGAAAATAATAGCATATACCAAAATAATTGATTTTTTTAAGCATAGAGAAACAAAATAGACAATTTACAAGTATGACACCGAAATAGTTATTTTATAATTCATTTAGGGAAGCAAGTAGACATATTTTGGTATTTTAATGATAAAAAGATTTAAACTTAAGTTATTACCACATATGGCACAGCCTCAACCAAAATTAACTAATAAAAAAAAGTTCAAAAATTATATGTATAATTCAACTTAAATTTTGTGTCTTTTAAACTTTTAAATGATTTGTCTTAATGATTAAACTTTGTATATAATTGTTAATAAATTTTGGTTAATCCTTTTAGTGATCTACATGCACAGATAACAACAAATAACTAAAAAATGATGTTTATATGGAGAAGTTTAATTATTAAAATATAATGTTTTGACAGTTTATGAACTACAATTTGTCTTTAAATTAGAGTACAAGTTGAAGAAAAAAAAAGATTAACTTAATTCAGCTCATTATTGAGTTGCTTCAATTAGTCACGTAAATCAGAATTGATTGGTTAGATTTTGAATTTTAATAATTAAAAATATAACTCCTATTTACGGATTAAAATCATGTGACAAAACATGAAATTAATAATAAGATTATTATATTTCAAGCCTTTTAAAAAAAGTGATCGTATTAAAATAATTGGTAAAATATAAAGCTTCATTATTTACTCACGTTCCGCATCCCCAATCTCATATATATCTGAAATTTAAGAATAAAATAAAATCTCATATATTTCTTTTTATATAGAGATAATCGGTTTCGTATTTTTAGCTTTGTTCATTTTGATATTTTTAAAACCTCCATTTTAATTGATGTACTTTCAATTTTTTTTTTCATTTTTGTCAATGTATTGTTAAAATATCTATTTTAGTCACTGTCATTTTTAAAACTGACTATTTTGATATCTTTATTTTTTATATGAGATCTTTTTAGAATTAACACTTGGCTCCTTAAATATTTTAAAATATAACCATAAATTTGTATCGAAAGATTTTCATTGCGTAGAAAATTTGTGTTAAAATTTTGTAAAAATAAACTAAATTATTCACTTTTTAAAAATGTCACAAACTAAAATAGTCCGAAAGTACCATGACTAACCAAAGCCTATAAATTGGGGGACCCATTGTATTTTTCAGGTACACAAATCTATTGCACCTATCCTGGGTGATAGATCAGACCTAGACTGACTTGAGCATCTCTCTATGCACAAAATTTTGAGCATAGGTTTTCTGATCTTGTGTTTGAGCTTCGTCAGGACAATCCATTTTTGTGATTAAACAATATTGATGTCGATGGAAATATCAATAAAATATTGATGTCGATAGATATTTACAAAAAAAGGTTATAAAAAATTTTGTAAGAAATATTTAAATTAACAAATAAGTCTTTCATCATTTTTAAATAAGCTAAAAATAATTAATATTTTTTTTTCTTTTAGTATGAAAAATGATTTAATATCAATACCATATCAATGTTAGTAATATTTGATTGATATTGTGTTTATATATATATATTCTTTTTTTTTGCAATATATGGTAATGTCGTTTTATTTTTCACATTGATATCGAATCCATAGATACAGAGAAATATCAATAGAAATGTTGACATGAGGAAGAAAATTTAATACCTTAATGTCAAGAAGTTTGTGATAAGTCTATAAATTTAATTAGTTTAACATTTATTTACAGTCGAAATTAACTCATCATCATAAAATAAAGTAAAAGATGAAGATTCCCTCTACAGTCTACACTTCCACTCCACCCTCCCAACTAAATACGGCTGTTTGTTTTTCTCTTTAAAACGTGTCGGTATCATTTATCAAACCCCCTCACTTTCAAACTATTTCAAATTTAACCCCTCTTTTTCCCCTTAATTAACAAACAACCAAAACAAAAACATATCCCTCCCTCAGTCCCTGCCTGCTACTGTTCCAAAAGAACTCCACTTTCTCTCTCTAAAAACCTTCCATTCTCTCTCCTTCAATTTCAGTTTCCCCCATAAATTATTCACTCCAATTCCCCCTTTTCTCTCGAATCTGGTTTTTTCCCACTTCCCCACTATGGAAAATGGTGCTCCTCTGAGATTCCTCCTCCCTCTCGCCGCCGTTCTCCTCATTTTTCCGGCCACATTGTGGTCTCTTCCGGCCACCGACCGCCGGACCTCCGCCGGGGCTGTCTCCTCCAAGTACCAGATCGAATGCACAATGTGCTCTGCTTGTGACAATCCCTGCGGCCAGTATCTGTCTCCGCCGCCGCCGCCGCCGTCCCCTCCTCCTCCCGTCAACTGCCCGCCGCCGCCGTCTCCCCCCTCCTCCGGCACCTACTACTACTACTCCCCGCCCCCACCGGCCCAGCCCACTTACACCTACTCTTCCCCGCCGCCGCCACGTGGAATCATCGGTGGGTACTACCAGCCGCCGCCGTACAGCAATTACCCGGCGCCGCCGCCGCCGAACCCGATTGTGCCGTATTTCCCATTTTACTACCACACTCCGCCGCCGGGCTCCTCCGCCGCCGCCCATTTGACGGCCACTTCCGCTTGCTCTGTTTTTACTGCTACTTTATTTACTCTTTTACTCGCTTTGTTTTAGTGCAAATTACAGGGAAGGGGGAAAAAGGAAATTTCAATAATGGCGGATTCGCAGATCTGGGAAATCGAGAAAGGGGGGTTTCGATCTTCGAAGAAGATGACGAGAAATTGCAGATCGGGAATTTGCATTTTGGGGTAAAGAAAATTTTCTCATCCCAAATTCCCCCAAATCTCCATGGGCATTAGATTGATTTGTAATCGGCTGACTACGTATAAAATTATATAATGTGTTTTTTCTTTTTTTTTTTCTACTTGTATTCTAAATTCAATTCGTCAAGAAAAAACAAAAACAAAATTGTATGTATCGAATCTTCTTCTCCATTGTGTTTTTTAGTTTCAAGAACATAATAATAATAATAACAATGTTTGGTAGAATGATTTTTCGATGTTCTTGCTCTGTTCATCAATGGCGAATGTGGGTCTAATTTGTTTTCAGAAGTTCATTAAAGAAAATTTCTTGAAGATTGAGAGAAATTGAATCGGTGGAAATTGTTGGTGGGTTCTGAATTTTTCTGATTGATTCAGTGGCATGAAACTGTGTTCTGTTCTTCATGACAAATTTGTAATTTTCTACTCTCTCTCTCTCTTTATTCTCTGTTTATATAATTTTGATTTGAACAAAGCCTTTAATCATGGGCTTAAATCTGGGGGTGTCTCTAAATCATCTTACAACTTACAAGTTGTTTTTATAAACTTTTTTTTTTTAATTTTTATTTTGGAGGTTTAGTTGTCTAGAATAAAAATTCAAACATGTTTGACTAGTTAGTAAAAGTTTTGTTTTTCTTTAATTTGTTTACATGGAAGATTCTGGATAGTTACATAATAACTTTAACATTTATTAATTAATGAACAAATATTTTTTTCTTATAAATGTTTTGGATAAGAAGGTGGCAAATAATCTTTAAAATTTGGTTGTTTGTTTTTTAAAGTAACTGAATTTTTAAATAAATATCGTGGGAATAAGTAAATACAATGTAAAAAGAAGTTAAATATGAAACTATAAATTCATTTCATAAACTTCAATATATTGAATTATTTGACGATTTTGTCGATTTTTAAGTAGTTTATGATACATCTTTAAACTATCAATTATCTTTTTAATAGTTTTTGTTATAAACATATTAGTGAAAAGTTCATTGAGTATAAGTAAGGTTTAGATCTTTCATAAATATATTTACCAAATTAAAAATATATTGATAGAAGAACACTAACATGAGATATCTATTATGTAAACTTTAGGACAAATAGTTTGATAGACTTGATAAGTTAGCATTCTATTGAGAGGTTAACCAAAAAAAAAAAAAATGTCTATGAAACTAAAATTTTTTGAGATCCAAAAAATTATATAAATACGCTACTCAAAGTGGAATCTGCAAATTACAAAAATAACTAAATGGAATATTATGTGTTTGGTTTGATGTAGTTTTTTTTTAGGGTCTTTTCTCCTTTCTTGTTTCGTCTTTTTCCTTTCTTATTTCTTAATAAAGAAAAATAGAACTGTATTGATCACTCTTATTATTTATTTTTCTATTTTTGATCATTCTTATTATTTATTTATTTTTTATTTTAAAAAATAAAAACATGTTTAGCAACACTACATAATTTTATGTTAAAATTAAATATTTAAAATGTTACCTTTTATTTATTTTTTAAATATTTATAATACATTTTATAAGTCAATGATGATAAGATACTATTTTTATTCATGTTTTAAAGAAATAGAAATGAGAATATAATTAAAAAACTTTGATTTTGTTGCACAATTTCGAAAACACATTTATAAGAAACGAGAAAAAAACAGAATATACTTGCCAAATTCATATATTTTTTAAAAATTAGAAGTTGAAAACGTTACCAAGCATTGGTAAGTATTAAAATGACTTGTTTAATTCCCATTATTCAAGAAATATAAAAAGATTCATTAGAAAAATCGAATCAAATATAACCGACGAGAATCTTGAGAGATCAACCTTTTAGTGCAAAAGCATATAGCCATATTTTCTAATCAATTAATCAAGAAATTAGAGCATGCTTTCAATATTTTTTTAGCAAAGAAAATACCCTTTTAAGGGAATTTCACTATTCTGTCACGAACAAAATGTACCAAAAGAAAAATTAAAAATAGAAAAATTCCAACTTTATTCCAATCATAATTAATAATCGCATGTGCCACCAAAAAGCCAAGTCCTTCTTTTTTGATATCAAAAGGAGGTGTGAAAAGACAGTTTGCACTTTTTTTGTCGAATTGCGTTTTAATGTACCAAACTCGTTCTGCACCGTCCGATTCATCTTCACATTCTTTTAATTTAAGATGTAAAATTACAAATTTGGTCTCCCATCTATCTCATTAATTATAGAACTTCAAATTATGCCCCATAAATTTGTGGAGGTTCAAAATCGTCTCTATAGATTCTAAATTTTGAAAAGTATCCAATAAATCATAGATTTATGAATATTTTAAGTTGTTTCAAAAGTTATTAATATATTAATTACACTTTTTTTTAATTTTCAGAGATGTATTTTTGGAAGTGGAGAGATTCGTTAAATATAAATTTGGATTAAATTTAAAATTTAATCAAATTAGAAAGAAGACAAAGAAGAAGGGCATTTAATGTAATTTGTAATAGTGGAAGGGACAAGGACAAGCTGTGGGGACAGGATTAGCTGGATCGCACGCATAGTAATGTGTGGTGGACCCTTTTTAATCGAGCATCCTATGAATTTCTTTATGGTTGTTATTTATTAATTAATGTCGAATTTCCAAGAAGTAAAAAAAAAAACAATTCAGAAAGAAGAAAAAGAAAACAGAAAGTTAAAATTAAAAACCGCTTAAAAAAAAGGAAAACGGAAGGTTAATTTTGGTATTTTGAATTTTATATTCATGCAAACGTCAGCATCATCGGAGGGACAGCCTGGCAACGGTTCTGGAGCGTGGTCGAAGACCATTTGTCAACGTGATCTTTTCTTTTTGTCAGCCAGCCCATTTAAATACACCATATTTTATTTACTAAATTTTTTGAAATTTTAACAATAAATTTATATTAAAAGTTTCTTTTCAAGTTTAAACTGGAGAGTATATTTTAATATACAATTTAAAAATACAATAATCAAAAATCAAAAGTAGATGACCAAAATAGTATTTAAACATTTATTTTAAAACTTACATTTTTTCTCTTTTAAAATTTTATGCCTATAAATTAACTTTTTTATCTAAAATTTGACTAAGATTTCATTAACAATTTTAATAATATGCCATTCAATTTAGAGCATAAATACTATTTTAATTTCAATTTTTGAGGCTAAATCTTATTCACATTACTATAGTTAATTCAATATAACTTAATTTAGATGCGTTAGACTCATGATTTATTCAAATTCAACTTTCATGTGTATAAATATCATTGTCATGAATGACCTAGGTGCACATTCTACCAAACTCGGTTGAATTTTACCTAGGCTTTTTTCCATCGAAGTTTCGTTATTTGATGTTTAAAATCACATCAACAAACACTATTATATAAATTAGTTGAATGCTCAACCATTGTTTTTTGTATTTTAGGCTATAAACTTAATAATATTATAATAAAATATATTTGTTGACAATGAATTTTAGAGAGGACCACATGTTCTTCGGATAAGCATTTTTCTATCGAGGGGCAAATGAACCTACAACTAGAAAAATCAACGTTGGTACGGTGTCCCGCCTAATACACTCCGACAATCAATTCAATAATCTGAGTAAAGAAATAGGAGTAGACACCAAGTGTTTAGTAATAGATTTTTTCAGGGACACCCCGAGCCGTACAAGGCCCTGATGAAGGAAGGGCGGACGTCCTGACAGTCAGTGGGTGGTACATCCGCTTGATGGTTTGTCCCCTTGCGGTTGTAAGTTGTAGTCCTTGACGTCTCATCTGTACAGCTATGATGGTGGCGTGTCCAGCTTGAATTTCTCCCTCAACGATATTAGTACTTAAAAATGAATCTTAATATTTAATTAAATTAATGAATAATTAACCAAATCAAAATTTTAAAAAGGACTAATCACAATCAAGAAATACAATCAATTATTAACATTGGAAATCAACATATGAAATGATCTACAGTTTTGAAGACTTGTGAGTTAATGCAACTTCATAAATCTACAGTTTTGAAGTTCAAATTTTGCAGTTTCCTTTTTCTTTTGAAGAAGAAAATTGAAACCCCATTAGTGTTAAGGAGTTGCATTCAATTCTTATTGATGTTTTAAACAAGACAAGTTCTGATTGAAATGAAAACTGAATCATCTAAAGCATATATATAAACTCTCTCCTCCAATTCCTTTTCACCATCCCTTAATTTCTTTCTAATCTTGATTTTGAGGGTGTGGATCCATTTTTTCTGTTGTAGCACCAACCAGTTCAAGGACTCCTACACCACCATCATAAAGGTAATATCTTTACAAATTTTCCAATCTTCTTCCATTAAATTAAGTCCAAGAGCATCAAAATTTAGATGAAAAACTTTTGATTTACTTATCTACTATAGTTTCATTTGTTTCTGCTCAATATTTGACAGGATTTTGACAATGGAATGCCACTTCCTTTTGATTTTCTTTCTTGCTTTTATACCAACCATTTTGGCTCGCAATGTTACGATCGGTAGGATTGTGGTTAATGGAACCACAACGATAGCAGAAACCGACGAAAATTACATCTGCTTGACTATGGATATTTGGCCCCATAATGAGTGTAATAGTTGGACGAAACTTTGTGCTTGGGATGGCCGTGCATCTATGCTCAATGTGGTGAGAATCTAGCTACGGGATCAAAAGAAGAACAAAAGAAAAAAATACATTTTAAATCGTCGTATTTTATTAATTATCTCTCTTCTTCCTTTGTTCTAGGATTTATATCTTCCTATCCTTGTCAATGCAGTGAAAGGTTTGGCTCTTTTCAACACATTATTAATAATCTCTCTATTCAATTTAACTAATTAAAGTTGATATTATAGTAAAAATCTAACTAAATTTTGCTCTATAATATCATTAGCTTTCAAGTCTCTAAGGATTAGAGTAGGAGGTACTTTGCAAGACAGATTGATTTATAATGTTGGACCCTTCAAGGGACTTTGTCACCCATTCCAAGCAAACAAAGATTTGTTATTCGACTTCTCCGAGGGATGTTTGTACGTGGAAAGATGGGATGATTTGAATGATTTTTTCAACAAGACAGGGTATGTTATTCTAGAATATGATTTTTCTTAGTTCTTTCCTCTATATCTTCGTTTTTCCTCCTACTCAATAATTTTCTTCAGGGCCATTGTGACTTTCGGCTTGAACGCCCTTCTCGGGAAGTACAAGACAAAAGGAATTCAATGGGAAGGAGATTGGAACTACAGCAATGCCGAAGCGCTTATTCAATACACGGTCGAAAAGAATTATCAAATAAATTCATGGGAGTTTGGTAAGTTAAATAATACTACAAATTGACTGTTTTGGTTGAGTCGTCGTGTGAGATTATTTACTTCATGCTCACCGAGACACGTGGCGCTATAACATGGGTGCAGGTCCGCTATTCTACCAATCCCATTACACATTTTACGCATAAATTATAGTTTTCCAACATTGAGAAACCCCTTTTTGATTTGTAGGTGATGACCCCAAATTGATCTATAGGTTCGTTGATCCTAGATACCTTAGCCAAATTTCAAATGTATTTAAACAACTTGAGAACACAATTAAAAGACATGGCCCTTGGTCTGCTGCTTGGGTTGGAGAAGCTGGTGGAGCCTATCATGGTGGCAGTCCTCATATTTCTGATGCATTTATCAACAGTTTTTGGTAATTAAAAACTCATGCAAACTGCTTTTTTCTTTTTTTTTTTGTGGGTAATTTATTTGAATATGAACTGAATTATAGGTACTTGGATCAACTTGGGATGGCTGCTTTGTACAATACCAAAGTATATTGTAGACAGACTTTGATGGGTGGAATCTATGGTGTCCTTAAAGCCTCAACTTTAGTTCCTACGCCGGATTACTACGGGTAAAGCGATTAATTTTTTTTCTCGATCTTTAAAAGAAGTCTGGTTTAATTTGGTGTTGTGTTTTTCATTAGGGCACTTCTCTTTCACCGACTCATGGGTCCGGATGTTCTCAAGGTTCATAACAATGTCTCATCATATCTTCGCAGTTATGCTCATTGTTCAAGAGGAAGAGTAAGAAGCTAATCCTTTTAGATATGGTTAGATTATAAAGAAATAAAGACACTATAATGTGTAATTGATTTATGTATTTATGATCATCTTCTTGTAGTCTGGTGTAACCTTGCTTTTCATCAATCTGAGCAACGAAACCGACTTTGAAATCAATACTAAAAACCGCATCCACATGAGTTTGCATAAAAGCAATCCCACGAGAAATGGTTCTCATCCAAAGAACAATCCAAGTGGAGGACTCTCAGAAGATGGAAGAAAAATATCATCTCATAGGGAAGAGTATCATTTGACTCCAAAAGATGACCTACTTAGAAGCTCCACCGTGCTTTTAAATGGGAGTCCATTAGAGATCACAAAAGATGGAGAATTGCCAGATCTTACACCTATTTACCGTGAGAGTAACTCCTCAATATTTATTACTACTTGGTCGGTTGCTTTCATTGTCATCCCTGACTTTGTCGCTCCAGCCTGCAAGTTGTGATTTGGATGCACCCTTACTTTATTTCAATTTCAATCCACTCTTTATTTTACTAGTGAGCAACGTAGTATGCAAGTTAGAGTTGTGTATCGTCTAAAATAAATATGAAATACACCATACATTATGAAATATAATGCATTTTCTTTCTTTCTCAATACTATGTCATTACATATATCATACTTATTCCGCGATTACAATCCTATGAATTCAAATATTAAGTTGGAAAAACTTTGGCAAAAGATTAGACTTTGATTATTTATTTTAAATAGAAAAAAAAACTTTTATATATTTTTCCAAAAATAATAAAAATAATAAATACATTTTTTCCTATTCTCGGAGAGACGCTCTGGCAGTGGATTCTTTTGCATTCCGTCTCCTTCCTTTTCTCATGTCTATATTGCGAGTTTACAATTGTGATATCAATCTTCTAATCCCTCGAGTAACTCTTTTATATATATTGCTACTTGGATCCATCCCCATTCAATATTCTAAATTATTGATTTGGGTTCACTATTTCATTTATTTTATTGAAATTATTTTAATCAACTCAACTAAAAATTATGTAGTGTTTAATATAAATATGAACGAAAGGCGAGACAAAATTACGAACCCAAAAAACTAAAAATAATGAAAAATGAAAACGCATCAAGAAATACGACGTCGTATTGCATTTATTCTCATTAGACCATAAGCCCATACCAGCCCAGATCTATTTATGGCCCTTATAGAAGCTCTAGGGAAATGAGCCAATGGAAATTTTGGGGAAATAAACAATATATATATATATATGCACTACGGATAAAAAAAAATTACTTGTTTGTAGTAATAATTAATTTATAAGTATTGATACTTAAATATTTAATTATGATAAAATCAAAATAATTGACTGAGTATGCCTTAATTTTTGTTAATGTTGCCAAATTATACTTCAATCAAACAAGTTTTAATGGTTTTTAATATTAATATTCAAAATTTATTTCATTTTAGTCACTAAAATTTCCAAATACTAATCCACTGGACTTTGCATAAAAAAACCATATGGGTTATTATTTAAAAATTTTATAATTATCTAATAAAAACTAAGGTAAATACATCTTTTGTATATTTATCTAATTACTAAATGTTTTTTTTTTGGTAAATAAATGCTGAAGTCACATGTGATAGAGTAAGTCACGTCCAAATTTTAAACAATATTTAAATTTTTATTAAATCAAAAATAAAAAATTTGATGACAGCGACTAAACATGTTTTGTTTATTTACCTAATTAATTGATATATAATATTAGTACACCGGGATGGAGGATTCGTACTCAACCTTTCAGTCAGAGACAGATGACAATTACCGTTATTTCCTTGAGCTAAATTTATGTTGGTGGAGAATAATTTGAGTTTAAGTCATAATTGGGTCCTTTTTACAAAATACTTAACTTAATATAGACATGTTTTTTATTTATTTACCTAATTAATTATATACCTAGACAAATACTATATTAGATATGATTGTTCTAAAAACATTTAATTTGAACTAAAAATAAATATTTAATTTATTGCCATTCTAAAAAAAACTCTTGTTGAATGAGTCAGGGTAAAAATTAAAATAATTTTTTTATACATAGTTTAAGGACTAATATAATATTTAAAGTGAGATTAAAATAATTTATTTCAAACATAAATCTTTTTTCTCTTAAAGAAAATTTTTTTCAACCATCAAAATAAGATTTAAACCCATAACTATAAAAGTTACCTTTTTTTTTTCTTTTATGATCTTAAATATAGAATAGAAATGATGAAAAAGACAGTTATCCTAATGATAACTTATTTGGAGCAAAATGATTGGATGCAAAAATCCATTCCCTTATTCTCCACCCCATGCATCACTGCCACAAAAGTTATGGATAACATTTATTTTCTTATTACTATTTTTCTTTTTCTTTTTTTGTCAAAATGTATATTTATTTTATAAAATTTATGTTTTCCAGCTCAATTTTAAAGGTCTTGTTTGGTAATTTATAAAAATATCAGTAGAAATGTCAATATCGATAAATATTTTTTAAAAAATATAGAAAAATATTTTGACAATAAATATTTTTAAATATCAAATAAACACCACTTTTCAAATAAGTTAAAATGGACTAATATTAATATTAATTATATCCATATTAGTGATGCTTTTTATATTTTGTCAATTTTTTTTGTAATACTATAAAATGTTGATTCACATCGAACGTATGGATAGAAATGTCAATATATCAATGGAATTTAATAACCTATTACAACTCCATATTATTTTATTTCGTTATTTCTTTTTTCTTTAGAATAACACCCCATGGTTTTTTCCTATAGGTCATACAATTTATTTAATGATAAATTTATTTTTTCGTTGTTTTGTTTTAAATCTTATGATTATTTATAATAATTTTCTTTTATCTTGTTTTCGTTTAAAACAAAACTTTCAAAATGTTGTTTATGGAATTTTGATTAAAAAAAAGTATACCATTTATTTCAAAGTATGTTTTATAACAAAAGTAGTATTCTATTTATAAAGAAATATAACTTTAAAAATTAAAAAAAAAACATTTAAGATGGATATCAAACTAACTTTAAGATGTTATTTAATTTAAATCATATATTTGGCCTTTAGACTTTAGTAATTAATGATGTCGGTTTAGTTTTTGAACTTTCAAACATTATACGTTAGTTCTAAACTTTGTATTTTTTTTCTTAAACAAACTATTTTAACTCCTAACATTGATATTTCATTAATTATTGAACAAAACAATTGAATCATGTCAAGATAACAAGCTAACATTCTACATTTAACTTCAAACACAAGTCCATGAAATATTTATTAATAAATTAGATGAATAAAAGACATGTCAATGTCAAATTTCTACTAATTAATTTTTTAAAAAAATAAAATGGTTGTATAAATTTCATATACTGAAAAAAAAATCAGAGTTTAGAAATCAAAACAATGCAGGGAACATATTCATTATTTAATAATATAGAGTGTTTGAAATAATTTATAATTTCAAAATTTGATAATGGAATCCCAATTTTCCTTTTAAGTCAAACTTCTAATTGACAAACATTTTATTCTATCAATGTATTATGGACTCTTAGAAAATCTAAACGTGAGGATGAATTCATTCTGGCATGAAAAATGAGGGCTTGACTTTCCAAATATGCTCTTCCCTTTTTCTTAGAACATTGAAATCCCAAATAAAAAGTACTCCTATCGCAACTAAATATCTTTAAATTTCTTACAAATGGAAAAGAAAAATACAAAAAAAAAAATAAATTTTTTTCTATATTTTAAAAAAATTAGGGAACCTTCAAATTTTTAGTAGTAGTCAATGACCCATTAACCTTCCAAATAATATCATATTTCTCATCCTTGAATGCAAAATCATTCCCTCCACTTGTATTAATTTGTTAATTTTATAAACTCCCTTTCAAAATGGCCTAAACATAACCCAAGTGGGTTATCAAATATTAATATGTGCAACTTCAGTTACCTTAAAACAACAATAAATGAACACCCAAAACCACAAACTAATTAAGAATTGCTACACAAATCTGAAATCACCAATTACAAGTTCAAATAAGGCTTGGTTGAAGTTGGATTTTAAGCCCTTTTTCTTTTTCGAATTGAGATCAAGATCATGATAATCAGTGACAGTGTTCAACAAAAATTCATTCATTATCCAACTCTTCCAACACAACTACATTACTCATTACTCTCCAACAACTAAAGAACAAATGGTTAGTCAATACAACAAAAAAAAGAGAGCTATAGGGAGGGAGTGAGGGGATGAATAATAAAGAAAAATTTCACTCAATATGTGGGAGGGAGAGGGAAAGATTTAAACAAAATGGAAGAAGATACACTTCAAAGGGTCAGATTTTGCTGGCTTTCTTTGTTTTGTTTCCTTCTTATTGCTCTTTTTTTTCTGATCACATCATCATCAATGGCTCTTTTTTAAGCATAAACAGAGCCATATGAGAGAGCCATCAACAGAACAGCAGCTTGTTCTTCCTCTCCCAACTTCTTCCTCTGCCTCTCCACAGTAGATCTCTGCATCAAAACTTCTCTCCCCAAAGCCAAAAGCCTCTGTTTCAAACTATCCCTTAGCCTACTACTACTACTGTTACTGCTTATATTGCTACTGCTTTTTTTGCTCTTCTTGTCCTCCACAACCCCTTTGCTCAGCCCCAAGATCGCCCTCCTCTTCTTCCTGCTTCTGATCCCGCACGCATTGCAAAGAGACTGTCAAATCAGAGTAACAGAAAACAGAGATCAGATATTTGGATCAGCTTGAAGAAATCCTGTGGGGTGGTTTGGTTTGGTTTATTAGATTAGATCAGTTGAATCTCCTCACCTTGGGGCCGGCGGGGCCGCCCCTCCACAAGGGGGTTTTTGAAGTGCCGCAGTCGGCGCAGGTCTTCTTGTTCTGCTCGTTCACTTGGCTCTCCTCCGACGAAACCCCGCCGGAGTTCTTCCCGGACATGTCCTCCGACTCCGATCCCTGCACGATTAACAACGCTGATCAGAAACCCGGAGAGAAATCTCAGAATCAGAAGCGAATCGAGAGAAACAGAGGGTGTTTACTCACTCTGTCACTCGGATCCAGCATCATCCGGCCGCTAATGGAGAGATCTGAGAGAAACCCAGATCTCAAGAACCCAAAACTCCAAGTGGGCAGTGAGGAAAACGATCGGAAAATCACGGAATCAAATGTGGGTGTCCCGATCAGAGGCAGGGGAACGGGATCGGAGAGAGAAGGAAGGCACCCAGAAGCAGGAGAGGAAGGGATGAAACCCAGAAAGCAGAAATGAAGGCGGAAACTGAAGGGGAAGCAAAATGGATAAGAGGGAGCGAGAAAGAAAGAGATAAGAGAAGGAGAGGCTATGGAGTGAAGAGAAAGCAAAAAAAGTAGAGAAAACCGAGGGAAAACGAAAGATTGAAAGGGAAGGAGGGAAAGAAAATTGAGATTGAGAATGAAAATTGAAATGGGAATGGAACCGACACAAAAGCAGTGGCCGCAGCGGATCTGAAAAAACCATCCTTAAATATACGCACAAGAGAGGGAGAAGAGGGCGCCAGGCGAAACCCTAGCGACCCTCTCGCTGTTTTTTCCTTAATGACGGAAATACCCCTGAGTGAAAAAACAAAACCCCGCCAAAAACTACCCCCAAATCAACAAAAAGGGCGCCACTCCCTCCATCTCTCTGGTCGTTTTATTTGATTTGTATTTTCTTTTTATACGTCTTACTGTTCGTGTCAATTTGTACGCATTTTGATTAATTTCTCTAGAAAATCATTTGATCTTATCATATTTAGTGTCGAGAAAACAGAGGAATTGGATCTTAAGGATGGTGGCAATTATGAAATTTGAACTCATTCATTCTTAATTAATCCATATCTTTTTTTACTAGTGAACCACTAAGGATGCTTATTTGATTTAGATTATTTTGACTCGGTTTGATGACTATTTTGTTTTTTGTTTTATATTTTTTAACCAAATATGCTTTTTCGGTCACAATTTATTTAATATATTGCTACCTTTCTATGCTTAAACTCTTGGCCAATTTTTTCAAAAAAAAAAATCTACTTTTTTAAGATTTTAAAATTTGACTTCAATTTTGAAAACAGTTCAAATAAGCATATGCAAAACAAAAAAAAATATGGGTAGAAGTAGTGTTTACCAATTTAATTTTCAAAAACTAGAGAGTCAAGAACAAAATATTATCAAATTGGTCATTAATGAATCGCTAAATATATGTTCTAGTTTTAGTCCATATTGTTTAAATGATTATCGCGTTAGTTTTCAATTTAAAAAAAAAAATTCAATTATTGTCTGGTGAGTTTGATAGAAATTAAGAGGGGAGAAAAATTAAGCTAGAGAATAAAAGCTTTAAGATTAGGTTTCATTTCTTATAAATTTGAATGATGAATTAAAATATTCCTCTTCTATATGCAGTCTAATATATTCTCTAAATTTATGTTTTGGTTTAAGTATGCGTTGTTTTAAAAAAATATACTATTTTCGTGGTTAAATATTAAAATTGGTTAATAGTAAAAAAGTGAAAATTTCTACCTAAGTTATTTAGAAATTTGAAGAGAAATGAGAAATTTTACCTTTCTAAATTCTCTTATGACTCGCTTTTTAACGTTCCCGTTTCTTGTTCATGTTTCCTCATTTTTAATTAAAAAAAATAGAATTGCATGACTCCAACACCCATGAATTTAAGGGTTATCAAATAATATTTATATTTATGTTTTTATAGCAAATTGGAAACGAAAACAACACACAAGAAACTTGTTTTGTTGTTTCGAAAATTTCTATATAATTTTGAGAATATTTCTGACAAATGAGAAACAAGAAATATAATTAGTTGCAAAATGTTTAGGATTCTTAATAAAATTGAAAACGAGAAATAAGAAATGAGAATATTATCTAACAAACCCTTAATTTTTCTTTTTAAATTTTTAACAACCCATGAAGTATTGTATTTCTTAAGTTTATTATCAACTAATCTCAACATTCAACGAGAGAACATGTACGATTATAAAAGTTAAATTATAAGAGATTAAATTAAAAAAAAAAACACTCAATTAATTACAATTAAAGGAAAACCAAACTTGGACTTAATTCAGCATTCAGTTGCCACGTTACATCTCCACCGTCTGATTTCAGATTAGTCAACGTGGGCTCTACTTTTGGGAGTTTGAATTTGGCGGCAACTTCGAATTTCACATTAAAAAAAACAAAACAAAACAAAAAAAAAACAAATTTTGACCTTATGAGAAAAAATAAATAAATAAAGAAAAAAACAATTTTTGGTCTCAATATCACTCCATAGTCCAAACGCTGTCTTAAGAAAATATGTGATGGAGAGAACACCACTTTTTTTTCCTTTTTCCTTTTTCTTTTGTTATATTTAATAAGTGGTAATCTTATAACCAAGTTGCTTACTTAACACCACATAAAAGAAAGAAAATAGATTAGATTATGTTATCTTTTCTCGATCTCTAATTAATCCAAATCAATCAATTATGATCCATTAATCTTACAAGTAAGAACACGCAAGATCGATAGACTTATCTCTTTTACACGTCTCATCATCATGTAAGATAGAAGATTGAATTTAGATATCAATTAAACGTCAAAATTTTTTAGTTTTTCCAAAAATATTGATATGGTTCAACCATTAAGTGAATATTTATAATAATTAGAAAAATCGTATAAATACATAAAGAGTTGACATTCAATTTTTCTAAATGAGTGGTTTGACGTGAGCTTAACTTAATGGTCAAGTCATCTCCACCTTCCTTAAAACGAGGTAGGTGCGAATCTTAACCTACAAATTTGTGGCATAATATTAAAATAAAAATCTAAAATCGATGAGTTTCTTTTTTTTCTTTTTTAGTGATTACGAGATTTAAATCTTTCACCTCACGGTATGTTATTCTATATCTTAATTCATTGAGTTTTGTTCAAATTAATCCATTGATTCATAAATCATTATTGCTAGTATCTATATATATAATAAGGTTGATTATTCAAAATTTTTTAAATATTTTTAACATTAAAATAAAAATACATTTCTTCTTAATATCATTCGATTTATTTAAAAGAAAAGCATATCGTGCGTGAGATTGCAAATTAAAATATAAATAATTAATAAAATCTATTGAATTTGACTAACACCCAATTGAGACATCAGTTGAATTTGTTTGACTGAGGAGTTGGTAACAGTCGATTTTAAGCATATTAAATAAATAAAAAACATATATTTTAATTCAATTAAAATTTTGTTTAAAAAATTATTAACTACACAATCTATCTATTTTCTATTTTAGTGTTTTGAAGTCTAAAACTCTGAATTTGGTTCTCAAACTTCTTATCCATTGGTTTTTACCTCAATTAAAAAAAAATTGTAATTTTGGTTCTTCAAAGTTTTTATTTTTTATTTTTAACTCCACAATGTAAAAATCGTAAATTTAATATATCATGATAATAATCATATCAAGTTCTAATTAATTATTTTTGATACAGGTCAAATTTGACGTTCAATAAAGGTTTAAAATTAGGTAATAAATACATTTTCAGTACATTTGCACAATATTTCTATCAAGTCTCATAATTCAAAAAACTACAAATTATCTTTTGAGACCGGTTTAAATGGTTGAAAATGGTCTCTAAGCTGAATTATGTATGTATGGTTTTCACCACGAGTGAAAAAAAAAAAACCTCAAAATGTGCCTTTGAGCTACGAAAAATATTGATATTTCAAGAGGAGCATCGTGAGGTAATACTTACCTTTTCTTCCCTTGTTACTTCAATTTCTGAGTATCCATTAAACTAAGTATTTAGAGCTAGCATTAGTTTTGATCATAGATGAATAAAAAACTCTCAAGTTTTCATTGAAAGAAGGAAGATATTGATAATTTCGAGAGGTATTAACATAAAAAGGGAAGAAAAAAACTAATTAGCTAAGTTAAAGTATATATATGCTAGCTTGATAATCCAAAATGTACATATATACTAGACAAGAGGTAACAAATAAAAAGAAATAATATACTTAATTACCATTAAAAAAAATTTGTCTCAACAAGAGTTGCTTCAACTAGCTCGAATGTAATTGAGGAAGAATTTCAACCACCCATTTTGTGAAGAAGCAAGGGCATTAAAAGCCAAGCTGGAAGATTTTGTATTGAAGAGAAAAATAACAATGAATTTGATCAATTAAAAACAACATACCAATATAATTCCACTGTATCATGATTGAGTCAGTCAGATCAAATATACTATTTTAGACCAAAAAGATTTTACGCTCACATTAAATTATAAGATAAATAGTCACGAAATCACTATCGACTTAATGACATGAAATCATAGAGATTTAGATCATAAAAAACGAAAATAAATAACACGACATAATATATATGGTCCCTAGTCCCACGAACCATCATAATGAATTAATCATCATTTACTATATTCTTTTAGATAGCTCCAAACTAAAAAAATATGATGTTATTCTCGAACTACAAAAAATCAACAGTGACAATCAAAAGATATATGTGAAATAATAATTGGTATGTCAGAACCATCTAGGAAGATGACGTTACCATTCAATTACCTAATTATAAAAGATATCTCATTCAATTTTATGTATTTTAACATCATTTTAATTTAGTGTGATATTTTCGTAAACATTTAGTGAAATTTGAACCTAGCTCATATAGATAGCGTATCCATTATTATTCATGAATAGCTCATGTGGATAATGCATCAAAGTTGATGGTTCAATATTTCACCTTGCGATGGTGAACTAATAAAATAAATAAAGAAAATGCTAATACTTTTGAACATGGAAAGCTTCGAAATCTATTATAAACATTTTCAGTTCAACATGTTGGTGTGAAAATTTGGACCTTTAATATTTTAGTAGAAAAATATATGTTTTAACCAATTGAGCTATGTTTTTTTAAATGAACAGTATCTACTATAAATATTTTTTAGTAACCAAGTTTGTAATTGAACCTATCACATAATAAAATATTAAAAGAAATTTGAGTAAAATACATTTTTAGTCAATTGAGATTTAAGTTAGGATTCTATTTGGTCCCGTTTCAAAATGCGACAGTTTAGTTCCTGAGATTTTAAAAATAGTTCTAAATAGTCCCTAAATTACCGTAAATTTTTTTAGAGAAATGTGACATGGTAGCATTATATATATGTGTGGCATATTTTTTAATTTTAAAATATTTTTATTGGTGACAATGTGACATGGAAAAATATTAAAATTAAAATATAATTTTATCCCCATCTCCTATCCCTTCTCCTCTCTCCCAATTTGGGAGGCTTCTTTCATCCCCTCTTCTCAAGTACTCCACCGTCCGCCGTTGTTATGGGGCTGCCCACAAATGTATAGATAAAGAAAAGAAGAAAAAAATGTGGAATTTTCTATCTCCACAGACTGAATTTTCATCTCCACAGACTTCTTCAATTTCTGCTTCTTCCTCCTCTCTTGCCCTTTTACTCCTGTAACTTCATCATCTTTTTACCTTAATTATTTTTGGAATTGGAAATGAGAGTCCCAAACTGAGAAGAATCCGTAATGGTGGTGGTGTTCCAGAAGTGGAGGTGAAAGTTAATTGTGAAGAACAGATGGAGAATTTTCGATTTCGTGCCTTACGAGAAAAAGGCAGGGGAAGAACAAGATAAAGAAAATGAAGAGAAAGACGAGATTTGAGAAAGCAACTGAAGCAAGATTCAGAAAAAATGGGGGAAAACGAAACGAAACCAGGGGGGATAGAAGAGAAGGAAATGAGAAAAGATTTGAGAAAACAAGTGAAAATCGATTTCGTCAATATTTGGGTCGAGTCCATGGAGTTCGTCAGGGAGTTTGGGGAGAGTATAATTCTCTGGTAAGCTAGAGATCCATCAGGAAGCAGTTGGAGGAACGTTGGAGAACGAGACGACAGGGGGAGGAGAGAAGGTGAGGGAGAAAGTTTTATTTTAATTTTAATAATTCTTTTTCCATGTCACCAATAAAAATAATTTAAAATTAAAAAAATATGTCACACTGTCATGTCATATTTCTGTTAAAAAATTAATAATTTTTTTCCATGTCACCAATAAAAATAATTTAAAATTAAAAAAAATATGCCACACATATATATACTACTGTCATGTCATATTTTTGTTAAAAAATCTAACGATAATTTAACCCGGACCATTTAGAACTATTTTCAAAACCTCACGACTAAAATGTCGCATTTTGAAATCTAGGGACCAAATATAATCCTAACCTAAATCTCAGGGATATTTTAGCTAAGAAATTTTAGGATAGGATTTGATGTCATTGGAATCCATGGGACATCTTTAACCTCCCTAATGGGCTCGGACTCGCGCAAAATTAAAATTGCTAATGCATGATTTTTTTATTCTAAAACAAATTTAAAACTTGGAGTAAAGTTTGGATTTTAAATTATCAAAATCAAAGTTAAAAGGATTAACTAATATATTAAGTTTCCTCAACTAACATATTAAAGTTTCATTGCAGTTAGAAATTTTTTTGGCGTTGTGAAATTTCAATCACCACCACAATATGATTTTTTTTCCTTTTTCTTTTTTCATTCTACTTCATTTCACAATTTGCCATATCAGCAATATTTAAAAATAATGTAAGATCTATGAAATAAAATAATATATCGCTTGATGATATGACAAATTGTAAAGAGAAAAAGTATGTGGTAATACTACCATTCGAAAAGTGTGACTAACTTAAATATAGATAAACTTATCAACATATCGATAATTTCCATTGTTGCAACTTTGGAATATTATCCCTTATTTAAGTTAGTAATATTTTTATGAGAGGGAAACAAGACTTTTAAAGTACAAATAAAAAATGGAAAATACTTTGATGCTTACCGATCACAATCCATTTTTTATGGAGGATCAAAACGTTTTACAAGTAGGAGATAGAAATGTAAGGAAAAAAAAAAAAACAAACAAACAAAAGGGTTATATTTTTATATTTTGATACAGACAAATTAACCTGTCTTAGACCTTCAATTTGAGCCTTTTTCATATGAGGGCCAAGGCCCAGTCAGCCCAACGCAAGCCAGGATGGGCTTATATTGCTGTGGTCCATTTCAATGCTCACAACTTGGATAGTTGGGAAAAGTTTAAATTATCTTAATGATTTTTTTAGGTTACATTGCATTGCTTTAATTATAGTTCCACGCTTTTAAATATTTGGTTTCTATTCCGATTAAATCTTGTTTAGTATATGAGGTAGAGATGAGATTCGAATCCATGATTTTTTAGATGAAACCATGCTCAATTTAGTAATTCAAAAAATAATTTGTAACCACCTTCTACTCGTAATTCAAAATAATATTTCAAAACCTTACCAAAATTAAAATATCACATTATTAAAAAAACGTAGTATCACATAAAGTTCAGCTAAGCTATTGTTTGCTTACCATGATTCAAAAAGAAGCTAAGATCCATTTCTAGTACCAAAGTTTTTTTTCTCCAAGAAAACGCACTCACATATATGGAAGAGTCTATATCCACGTGAACATAGCTTGTGATTAAACATCTCTTTACTTTTTAAAAAAATTCGTAAGTTTGAATTTTTATTGTACCTGTCATTTTTTTCATGTAATATTATAAATTCTACGACAATATTATATCTCATATGTTTGGAATTTCAAAACACTAATTTCTGTAAAATTGCATGTGGATTTCAAGACCATACCTTAGAAACCACAACTTTTACTTTTATTGCACTCTCCACATTAGTTGCTTACATGACCCAAAAGCACAAAAAGAGGGTGGGTTGAAATGAAAACAATGGTTGCATCCCAAATCATTTGCAGGCTGGAGCTACAAAGTCGGGAATGACAACGAAAACAATAGACCAAGTAGCAATATTTATGGAAGAGTTACTCGGACGGTAAACAGGTGTAAGATTTGGCAATTCTCCCTCCTTCGTAACTTCTAATAAATTTCCATTCAAAAGTACGGTGGGACTTTTAAGTAGACCATTTGTCGGAGTCAAATGGTATTCCTCCCTTTGAGCCGACAAATCTAACGTTTTTCTTCCACCTTTCGAGACTCCTCCCATTGGACTGTACTTCAAATAAGAATCCCTTATCTGGGGATTGCTGGTATGCAAACTCATGTTCAAGTGGTTGTCAACATCGATTGCAAAGTCGGTTTGGTTGCTCAAATTAATGAAAAGCAAGGTTACACCAGGCTACAATACAATGAAAAAAATGCATATTAATTGGACTTTTTTCTAACTATTATATATATGAAATACAACGTTTCTTTATTCACTTAAAATCTAAAAGAGATTTCTTACCCTTCCTCTCGAGCAATGAGCATAGGAACGCAAATAAGCAGATACATTATTGTCAACCTTAAGGACACTCGGACCCATAAGCCGGTGAAACAGAAGTGCACTAATTAAAAAAAAAACCAAATAAATAAGAATTCTATTAATTAAAAAACATATTACCTTTTATAATTTGAATTGCCTTAATTACCCATAGTAATCTGGTGTGGGGAATAAAGTGTAGGGTCTGAGGACACCATAGTGTCCACCAACCAAAGTCTGTCTGCAATATACTTTGGTATTGTACAAAGCAGCCATCCCAAGTTGATCCAAATACCTATTAATATAACAATTCATATTCAAATTATTTCAAAATAAAACTCACATTATATATTATTATTTCCAAATATTTAAATTAAATGGAGAAAATAAGAAACTAAAATGAATTTAATTAATTACCAAAAACCATCCACAAATGCATTAGAAAGATGAGGACTGCCACCATGATAGGCTCCACCAGCTTCTCCAACCCAAGCAGCCAACCAAGGGCCATGATTTTGAATTATGTCCTCAAGTTGTTTGAATACCTTTGATTCCAAGCTAAGGTGTGCAGGATTCACAAAATTAGGAATCAAGTTTGGGTCATACCCTACCAAAAAAAGGAAAAAAGGTTTCTCGATATTCAAGGTACTGCGTTTATATACGTATAGATAGTGTAATAAGATGATCGGTAGAGTACTGACCTGCACCCATGTTATATATGTGATGGGTGAGAACATTAACAACTCCCGTGCCTGTTTCTTTGACAAGATCATCGTACCACGAGTCATCGAAGAATGCACTAGGTGCCACAATCAGGGGTTTTTGTAAGTGAGAATTATTGTACAAACGATTGATGATTTCTTGAAGCTTAATCAAATCTTTCGCATATTGTGCAGTAGTAACACTTGCCCCAATACTATTATATCCAGCCAATTCATTGCCTGCAGTGACATGCCTCAATGAGTAGAAATCAAAATCGATCATAAGAAAATTGCCCTTTGGTATTATTTAACTTACCAAACTCCCATGAATGTATTTGATAATTCTTTTCGATGGTGTACTGAATCAACGCTTCGACATTACTATAATTCCAATTTCCTTCCCAGTGAATTCCCTGTGTCTTGTGCTTTCCCAAAAGAGCATTCAAGCCAAAAGTCACAATCGCCCTACGTATCACGATCATTATATTACCATTATCTAACTAATTTAAAGTACGTTCGAGAAAATGAGAGTGGATAAAAATAACATACCCTGTCTTGTTGAAAAAGTTGTTCAAATCATCCCATCTTTCCATGTACAAACATCCCTCTGTGTTCCCAAACAGTAAAGTTTGGTTTTTCATAAATGGGTGGCAATGTCCCTTGAAGCTCCCAACATCATAAATCAATCTGTCTTGCAAAGTACCTCCAAGCCTAATCCTTAGAGGCTTGAAAGCTAACAATACAAAGCAAAATTAAGTTAGATTTTTACCATATCGATTAATTTTAGAGAGATTCATAATATGTTGTGAAGAGTCAAACCTTCCACTGTCTTTGTAAGAATGGGAAGAGACAAATTCTGAAGAAAAGAGAGAATTCATTAATAAATACTAGAATTTGAGTTTTATTTTTAATCTTAGATTCTTACCAAATGGAGCATAGATGCATTGCCATCCCAATCACAAATTTTCGGCCAACTTCGGCACACGTTATGAGGCCAAATGTCTAAAGTCATGCAAATATAATTCTCGTCGGTTTCTGCTATTGTGGTGGCTCCATCAATCACAATTTTACCAATCGTAGTATTGTGAGCAAAAATCGTTGGAACAAAAGCCAGAAGGAAAATCAAAAGAAATTGTTGGCATTCCATAGTTGACTCGAAATCGTCCTGCCAAAAGTTAAACCAGAACAAATGAAATTGCTCCAAATAGGTAGATAAAAAGCTTAGTTTAAAGGGAACAAGATTGAGAAATGGCAACCATTATTTCACCTTTCAAATGATTGATGAGAAAAAACAGATAAAGAAAAAAGCTCTCCAGAACCCAAAAAAACCCTCAAGATTGAATATTATTAGAAAGAAAAAGAGAGGAAATTGGGTGGTGAAAAAAAAGTTGGAGGAGAAGAGTTTATATATGCTTTGAGATTGTGCAGTTTCCATCATAACTTAATTTCTCCTATCAAGAAATTAATGGGTTTTAATTTTCTTCTTGAAAACAGAAATAAAACTCCTAAATTCAATTTCAAATCTGTTAAAACACAAACCTTGGGGTTTTTTTTTTTTTCAATTAATGTGTTGATTAATTAGTCTCTGAGTTAATTTTCATTATTATTAATTAATTATGTGTCTCTTTTCTCCAGACAAAAAACGTGCATTAAAAATTCAAAACCTCAATCTTACAAAGGTCCTCAATCCAACGAGAGAGAGAGAGGGTTACACATGAGAAATGGCATTAATTTTCCACAACCTGATCATGTGCTACATGGTTAAAATTGTCTACTAATATGGCTAAAAAGAGAAGAAAAACAAAGTTGAAATTTTGAAGAGTGAATGTTTAAAATAACATGGGACAACATCAGCGAGAACGACGTAGTCGATGAGATCTTTGGTACTACTTATCGGTACTTATCAGTCAGCATCCATTTCGTTGATCTCTATTACATTTTTAACGAAAGAGAAAAATGTAGAAAAATATATTTTTTTCTATGTTTTTTAAAAAATTAAAAAAACTATCCATTTTTATTGCAATTTTTCTATTATTTTCATTTTCACATGCGTAATAATGAAAAATTGAAGAAGGACCCAATTCCAAGTTATTCAGTGCTTATATAGAAATCAACTAAAATAAAGTGATGCATTACCTTTACTACTAATATTGGAAGTTAATCCACGTATTACTAATAAGTGCAAGGATTGGTAAGCATTTACATACGTGACTATTAGTCCATATCTTGAATCATATATTTCTTTTTTTTTCTTTTTGGATATAACATGTGGGATGAGACTCAACCTCTTAAAATAGTGACTTGAATCTCAGAAGATTCTAGAAATTACTAAAATATGACACAAGGAGTCTAATCTAATGCTTAACCAATTAATTATATCATTGCTACATATGTATATATCAAACTTGAAAAAATCTTAGCATAAAATTTCATCTTCTATTGTTTCATTAATTTCAACCGAAGAAAAAAAAATTACAACGTTGATCCTTGAAATTTAAAGTAAGTATCTACTTAGTCTCTCAAGTTTTAAACGAAGAGATATTTTTGATCTTTGAGATTTGAAAAATAATTCTAAACGGTCTCTAAACAATTTTGACAATTGTATGACTAACATTAAAATGGTGGCCGGTTAAATTGGTGACTGTATTTTATCAAATCAAGGCTTGATTTGAGTCCAGTCTTCCTATGTCAGAAAAAAATATATTTATTTTTGTCAATTCTAGAGACCGAGTGTATCTTTTGCCAAAAAAAAAAAATCAAATAACAAAACAAATCCATGCTCGTAAAATT